GTTTACACGTCCGTAATGCACAACCCCCTTCAGAGTCCAGAACCAATCAAATTTTGTGAAGACAAGCGACCCGAGAGCACGATTCGCAACGCTGCAATCGTTATCGCGTCCCGTGTGTCGGGTTTCACCCTGGCTGCGATGACAGCCGTTAATCGCTGTAGTTTGTCGCTGCCCGTGTGTCGAGCCCTTTAATCGCTGTAGTTTGTCGCTGCCCGTGTGTCGAGCCCTTAAGAACCACAGCATTCAAACCAATCAGTCAGGTGATGGGGCACATGACCCTCTATGAACAATAGAGCTAATCAAGCCTATTGTTAAGGATGACCCTCTTTTGCATGTTACCAACCTATTTGTCCATATGGAGGCGGTGCTTTTAAGGCTGAGTTCACCTGAAACTCATCAGACTGAAGAAGTCTCTTGGAGGAGAGACGAAACGTTTCACTGAAGACGAACCATCCAGAGGAACTACTTTTCTTTTTGATTTTTTCTACCTGGATTACTGAGATGCATCAGGACATTAATCACAAATAAATATTCAACCAAACAAATTACCTTTTGTTTCTCTCAAGTTGACCAAACAAAACTATTTAAAACTACTTTTGTTTTACTAAATAACGCCCTCTGTTGCTGAGATTCTTCCGTTAATATAATTTGTTTTTCTCTAGAGTCTAGATGAAGAACAACAAACAGTTCACTCAGATGTCTCATAATTATATAGTTTATTACAAGAGTACACATCTCCATAACAAAAAAGAGAAGGAAGGAAAAGACTAGCAACACATTCATAATTAAACTAAAACATTTTTGTTTTCCTGCAGTACGAAGGACCAATATTTACAGAAGAGATGCTGAAACAAAAGAGGTGAAAGAGACAGGAAGTGGAGTCTCATGGCACGAAAAAAAATCAACAAGTCAGGCAAGTGCTTTTTGTTTTCCATACTCAATGTTGGATAAAATGCAGTGAGAAGAAGAAAAATAATTACAGTAATCAACAATATCAACATTTTAAACAATGTGTACAATATAAACTGAAATCATCCAATATTTACCTTCGGCCTAAAAACTCTAAATCTGTAATATAACATTATTAATCATACAATAACATTAATATTAGGTTATTAGTTCATGTAAATAACTTTTATTCTTTCTTAGTTTGTAAAAGAATAATATACAAATTAATACACACTATTAATGCTCTGCTTAAAAAAATAATCCAACAGTTTTAATAAAAACAACAAAATTCACTCGATACAAACTACAAATCTAGTTATCTTTTTGTGAAAAGAAAAGCAGCAAAGGGTTTATATTTTCTTTTTTTTATGTTGGTGGTGGAAATAAATCAGTGGTGTGGAAAATAAAATATGCGGCCCGAACAGGGTCCGTTTGAACAACCGGATCTCTTAGATTTTCCTTTTTATGTCCACAAAATCCTGTTGGTCCTGCCCTCTGAGACTTCGGACCTCAGAATTCGAAACCCACGGGTTTCTAGAAGGTTCCTCCGGCTAGTTCCAGGATTGTGTTCGAGGTTCCCCCCAGAGCTTCTTGTTGGGAACCGAGGAACCGGATCTCAGTTTCAACACAAACTCAACACCGCTGGCTTCCAAGGAACCGGAAAAATGAAACTTCACAAATAAAAACAAAGTCGAGGCAACACTCGAGCAGCACGTATGTATAGGTGTCTTCCACTTTACCCTGACTCTGTCTTTGTTCTTCAGTCCAAGAAGTTCTTTATCAGATGCTTGGATAATTCAGGAAACTGTCCAAAATTATCAAGTTCAAGAAAAGTGACCAAAACAAACATGGACCTTTTTAGGTTTGACCAGGAGGCCATATTGGACGTTGTGTTGGTTTGTTTTTGTCCCCAAAACATAAATAATTCTGAAAACACTGATTTTGTAAAGTCACTGATTCTTCTCTCGAGGGATGACTGAGAGTAAGAGTCTTGCTCTTCCGACACAATGTTTTATTTACACCTGAGTTCTCCGACACCGTTGGGTTACATCCTGTAGGTGGAACATTCAGCTGTGATTTTAGGCAACGTGGGCTTGAAAAGACGTGTTAAAGTAAAGTTTAAGGCAGAATTTTTGCCAGATAATGGCACTGATTTGAAGTCATCCAACATGCTGTGTGTTTTTTCACCTCATTGTCTCTCTGACTGAACAACAGTTGGTTTCATCAGAACACCAACTGTCAAACTGATGAAGAAATTTAACCGTTTTTGGTGCTAAAATCCTGTTTTTAATATTTTGTAAAACGACTGGAATTCCTAATCCTAAATTTTTGTTCCTAAACTTAACTTCCATCCATCCATCCATTCATCCAACCATTCATCCTCCCATCCAATCAATCATTGCTCCATCCATCCATCCATCCATCCATCCATCCTCCCATCCAACCAACCATTGCTCCATCCATCCATCATCCATCCATCCATCCATCCATCCATCCAACCATCCCTTTATCCATCCATCCATGCAACCAACCATTGCTCCATCCATCCATCCATCCATCATCCATCCAACCATCCCTTTATTCCATCCATCCATGCAACCACTCCCTTATCCATCCATCCATCCATCCATCCATCCATTCATCCTCCCATCCAGCCAACCATTGCTCCATCCATCCATCCATCCATCCATCCATCCTCCCATCCAACCAACCATTGCTCCATCCATCCATTCATCCATCCATCCATCCATCCATCCATCCAACCAACCAACCATCCCTTTATCCATCCATCCATGCAACCAACCATTGCTCCATCCATCCATCCATCCAACCATCCCTTTATCCATCCATCCATGCAACCAACCATTGCTCCATCCATCCATCCATCCAACCATCCCTTTATTCCATCCATCCATGCAACCACTCCCTTATCATCCATCCATCCATCCATCCCTGTATCTATCCATCCATCCATTCATTCATCCATCCATCCAACCATCCCTTTATTCCATCCATTCATGATGATTCCTAAACCTAAACAAGTAGGTTTGATTCCTAAAACAGTATGTCAAGGTTAATATAGGACACCCCCTCTCATTTAATTTTTTTTTTCAAAACATCCTGTGAGCACATTTCCAAACTAAGTTTCACTATCTGAATCAACGCCATTTGTGTCACAACCTGCGATTGACTGTGCTATAATTATTTAGTCTTGATCTGTCAGCTAAAACATTATTATTTTAATCAGGGCACCGGGATCACAAATCAGTGAAAAGGTTCAACTTTAGTCACTTTTTAATGTAAAACTGTCATTCTCAAAATTAGTGAAATGATTTCCTAAACCTTACTGAGTAGCAGACATTTAATCTGACCATTTAAGACAAGTTAAATTTTGGTTTAAAACTACAAACTTTCAGTTCATATTTTCAGCTCATGTAGTAAAGTTCACGGACTTTGATTAAACAAAACGTTAAAATAAAAATATTCTTTCATCCTTTACCCTGTTTCATCTGTCAGCCCATTTCCACACCTTTACTTTGTCACCACTTCATTTCACCAAAAGTCTTGTGCACTACTCCTTAAAATTATATTAGATAGCTTTTTGTACATATTTATGGTTGTATGTTTCTTTAAAAAATACACTGAAATAGAGCATAATTAAGACCTTTTTTGGCAATTTCGTCCAGGCTTTGAGGAAAGTCCGGATCTTCAGATCTAATGAGGCGTCAACTTCTTTTAGTTTGAACAGAAGCTCCAACCTGGCAAGGCGAAAGTGACGAAGAAAAAAATCGTTGAGATTAATTTTTCCTTTCCGTTAATCTTCTCCCTAAATATCACCAACGTCCTCCCCCTCTCAAACTGTTGCTCCCAGCAACTCCTCTGACTTGGCCATTATCTCGTTCTGGTTGGAGTCCAGGCCGTAGAACTTGACTTTCAACCCGTCGACGGGGTGAACCACAGGAACCGTGATTATACGCGGGAACTGCCGGGTGGCCAGCTCGAAGCGGCTGGTGCTGGCCAGCTCGATGGCCAGGAGGCGGAGGAAAAGGGTGGCGAGCTGCTTCCCCAGACAGGATCGGACGCCGCCGCCGAAGGGCAGGTAGTGAAAGCGCCCCTCCTTGTCTTCGCTACGCTCCTGGCTGAAGCGGTCCGGATCAAAGGCTTCCACGTCTTTGAAGACAGCCGCTGTATCGTGAGTGTCCCGGATGCTGTACATCACACTCCAACCCTTTGGAATCTGGACTCCCTGCAAGCAAACAAGCCACATAAAATGTTTAATAATTTACTAAATGGATATTGTTGAAAGCATTTCTGAAACTTAGCAATAAAGCTAAAGTTAAAATGAAAGAAACAACAGCTACATTTAGCAAAACAATAGCTTAAATTACCAGAACAGTGATCAAAACGGGTAAAATGGTAGCTAAAAGTGAAAAATGTCACAAACGTAGTTAAAATCTAAATGTATACTTAAGCAGATTTTAAAGAACATGTTTGTAAAGAATTTGAAAAGTCCTTTATTTTTCTGTGAGGGGATAATTTTTAATATTTCAAAAAAGTATAAAGGCTACAAAAAACATTTAGCCATTCTGTCCTGTCAACTGAAGTCGAATATTTTGTTAAAATTACACTGAAGTAGCCAGATTTACTTCCTGTAAGTAGTTTTGGAAAAACAATGCCACAATTTGGTAGATGTAGACAGTAAAATCCATATTTATTTAGTTAAAAAAAATACATATTTCCATGCATTTTGGACTTATTTCTCATGTTTCGGATTCATCAACAAAACATCCAAAACAAGACGCAAAAGGGGCCGAAGACACATCATTGAGGAACCCCATAATTAAGTAGATTGGACACATTAAAGAACTATCATCACATGTAAAGAACTATCCTTTCAAATGAAACAAAGATCACTGCAAAGCAAGCTGCACAAACATTTTACAAATGAAACGTTCTGAGACTCACGTCTAGTTCAAAGGTCTGCATGGCCGTTCGGTACGCCCCGGAGACAGGTGTGTAGAGTCTCAGCACCTCCTTGATGACGCAGTCCAGGTACTTGAGACTGATGATGGTGTCCAGCCTCAGCTCTCCTTCTGGACAGAGGCAGCCATTGTGGAGGAGGCCTCTGGCCCTCAGCTCCTCCCTGAGACGCTCCAGAACGTGGGGGTGGCGGAGGAGAGCCATGATCAGGGAGGTGCTCGAGCTAGCCGTGGTGGCGAAGGCAGCAAAGATTAGCTCGATGGTCGATTCCTGCGACAAGATGAGGAGAAACAGTACATTTTCACTCTTCAGTCATTTGGTTAAATTTTAAACTTTAAGAAAACCCTGACCAATCCTCTTTACTTTATATACGCTTCCATTAAATAGTTTTTTAACAACATGGGATAAATATTCATTGTTATGCTGATGATACTCCGGTATATTTGTCCATTCATGTTTTTTGTACAGCAAACTGAGACGATGTTCATTGTGACTTGGCACTGTATAAACAAACTAAATTAGTGGGCACAGTTAACCAAAAAGTTAACTTCACTAACACTAAACTGATAAACGTAAAAAATTAGCAGCTAATTGCTAACCACCAAGACAATGTCTTCATCGCCTTCCAGCTGAAGACTTGTGGGACTGACATAAACCTGTTGATGTTAGTTACTGTTAGCAAGATTTAAAGTTTTCAAAACCCAATTTAGCGAAAGGTACTTGGTCCATTAACGGTTTACAAAGTCTGTGAAAAAGCTTATCCGCTAATGAAAAATAAGTTCCGTTATTAGCTGTTAGCTCTGGTAAACAATAACTTCAAGTTGAATGGTTTTAGATTCTGTTAAAGGCTGAATAATTTTTATTTTGTCCCAGAGTTTTTCTTGGGGCATTATGAGTCTTGCCCATGCACCAGGCTAAGAATCATTTGTTTATTTAGAGCCAGCGCTAGGACCTAGCATTAGCAATTAAGGGCTCTGCTCTAAAACCTCTGAAATTGGCAGAAGATGACAAATGCACAGTGACAATTAGTATTTCAGGGTTGGTAAGGAGTTTCTTAAACTAGGAAGTTAATTAAGCAAAAATACAATAACAAAAACATTTAATTTTAATTCTTAAGCGGTATTGTGTTTGTTAGCTATGCTACACTGGTCCTTCAGGTTTTGGAATAAATATCAGTGAGTCTGGGCAGCGTGCCTCACGTTGTAAACTTCTTTCTGCAATCGTCTGTGTGTGTATGTTTTATATACGTCAAAGAGCTGAAGAGGAAAGCCTGGGCCTCTACGACAGGGCCTCCCCAGTTCAGGTTATGTGTGTCATTGTGTGTGTGTGTGTGTGTGTGTGTGTACAGGAGGCCTCATTCAGACCCCTACCAGGGGCAGCGTTGACTTATTTTTGGCTCTGGATTCCACCCAGAAACCACAAAGAGCTGAGGAGAAGCAGAGTTGAGTTTCCACAGAATTCCTCAAATAGGTAAATAGAGGGCGTGCCTGTTCTGGACCATTTTTTTAAGTGTCTGCCTGCAGAGATCAAATTAGCATCCCTTCATATACAGGTTTTGCATTGCACACTTACTGTTTCTGTTTATTTGCATAAACTCACATCTGACTGAATGAATTCTTGCACCTTGGTCTGTCTGTGTAAGCACCCCGTCCTCCTTCTGATATTTTTGTTTATTGTGTTTACAGTAGATGTTGTTACCTCCTTATGCTTTTATTTTGTTGTTTACAGTAGATGTTGTAACGTTCTGATGTTTTTATTTTGTTGTTTACAGTAGATGTTACGTCCTGATGCTTTTATTTTGTTGCGTTTACAGTAGATGTTATGTCCTGATGCTTTTATTTTGTTGCGTTTACAGTAGATGTTATGTCCTGATGCTTTTATTTTGTTGTGTTTACAGTAGATGTTTAGTTCTGATGTTTTTATTTTGTTGTGTTTACTGTAGGTTTTAAGTCCTGATGAGTTTATTTTGTTTCGTTTACAGTAGATGTTTAGTTCTGATGCTTTTATTTTGTTGTGTTTACTGTAGGTTTTATGTCCTGATGATTTTATTTTGTTTCGTTTACAGTAGGTGTTAAGTTCTGATGCTTTTATTTTGTTGTGTTTACAGTAGGTGTTGTAACGTCCTGATGCTTTTATTTTGTTGTGTTTACAGTAGATGNAGTAGGTGTTAAGTTCTGATGCTTTTATTTTGTTGTGTTTACAGTAGGTGTTGTAACGTCCTGATGCTTTTATTTTGTTGTGTTTACAGTAGATGCTATGTCCTGATGTTTTTATTTTGTTGTGTTTACAGTAAGTGTTGTTACCTTCAGCTCCTGCATGGTGAGCTCTGTGCCGTTCTCCTTGGCGCTCTCCATCAGGACGTCCAGAGCGTCGCTGTAATCTTTCCCCTGTGTACACAGCGGCTTCTCCCGAATTGCTTTTTCTATGCTTTTCTGGAGGACGTCTCGAGCGCGGATTCCCTGCAAAACATGCCGAAAAAACATCAACCGTCTGACCAACAAGCTGTCCACAGTTTGAACTTTCAACAACTTTTCTTATGTCATTCAGAAGCTGAAGTTAGCTTGAACCAACAGTTCACCTTTTATACACGACCACACTTTAAAAGTTCGATTTAAACCAGGTTCCAGGTAAAGATAGTGTAAAAAAAACGAGAGTTTGTGGTTAATTTGAATTTTCTAAAATAAAAATAAAGGGTCATCTGACATGATTTGTTCTGATTTTTGAATGATATATTGTGAATGATTGTTAGCTACCAGAACATCAGATTTGAGCTCAATATTTGTAAAATTCTTAGAGTTAAAGACCTTTTTATTTCTGCTACAATAAAAAAAAACAGCTGACACCAGATGTTCATCAGTAAACTGGAATTCTGAACGTTTCATTAAAAACCAAAACGTAAAAGCAGCGTTCTGAAGACGTACCTTCCTGAAGCCACTGAAAGGCAGGTCTATGGGCAGGCTGAAGAGGTTGTTGACGAAATCCTGGAAGGTGGAGAAGAGATGTCTCATCTCCTCCTCGGACACCCTGAAGCCCAGCAGAACCCTTACAGCCATGGTGAACGACAACCTCTGGCTCTCCCTGTGAAAAACCACACCCGACTGAGCTCCATCTTTGTCTTCCTGATGATTGTTTAGAGTTTGTTTACATTGCACTTTATTTGTACCTGTAGACGTTGATGGGGTCTGGGTTGGAGCTCCAGACTCTGAGGCTCTCCTGGATGACTTGCTGGATCTTCGGGAGGTAAGACTCCAAGGCCTCGTGGCTGAACACTTTGGCAAAAACCTGCAGAGAAAACAGGAGACACAGGACCGTTATTTAAACATATCCATCTTCTACCACTTATTTGTTGTTGAGTCGCAGAGGTAACAGGTCCAGGAGAGAAATCTAGACCCTTCTCCCTCCAGGGACACTTTCCAGCTCATCCTGTGGAACCCCAAGATGTTTCCAGGCCAGAGAGGATGCATAGTCCCTTCAGCAAGTCCTGGGTCTTCCCCCTGCCTCCTACCGGTGGAAAGTGCCTGGAACACCTCTAAAGGGAGGTGCCCTAATCAGATAAAACACCTCAACTGACTCTTTTTGATGTGGAGGAGCAGTGGCTCTGCTCTGAGCTCCTCCTCTGATCTGAGCCCGGCCACCCTACGTAGGAAGCTCATTTTGTCCGCTCGTATCCAAGATCTCGTTGTTTCGGTCATGACCCGCACCTCATGTCTACGGTGAGGGTTGGAATGTAGGCCCACCAGTAAATCCAGAGCTTTGCCTTTCAACTCAACACTTTCTTCACCATGACTGACCGAAGCAACATCCTCATTACTGACTACAAGGACTCAATCCATCTATCCATCCTACCATCACTACCAACACCCAGATACTTAAACACTCATTATCCTATTACTCATTATTGATCGACCAAATCTATAAATGTTGTTATTTAACCAGAGATTCTTATTTTTCCCTGAATTCTCTCGCTGCTCTTTGGTTCCTTCTTTACGTCACAAAGGTTTTCTCTACAGTCAGCAGAGTTAGAAGAGGAGGGGGTTCATTTAAAGACTTTTCTGGCTGCTCGTAGTTTTTATTTATTTATTTTTTCTGTATGAATCAGTCACCAGTCGTCAGTTCTGTTTGAACAAATAACATTCCATCAGATTTAACCTCTAAAACAGCCCGGGACATGATTTAGAGACGCAGGAACTCAGTATGGTTTTTGTAGCAAAGTGTCAAAAACTGATGTGTATTTGGACAAATAATATTTTCTCCTATCAAACCGCTCGGAGCTTTTGGAGCACAGAACATAAAGGTGCAGCTTGTTGGGTCTGAAAACAGTGCAGCTTTTCTGATTCCTCCTTTTTTTTGAGTCTCACAGAATTTTTTTTTATTTTTTCCATGGCAAGTTTTTTTTTTTTATTCAATCAGGAGCGGCAGCGCGTTCTGGAGCGGAGCTCGGCGACTGCCACACATGGTTTGCATTTTCTGCTCAATGAAACGAGGCTGGAACGTCTGAACAAGCAAATTTTTCTGCGTTGGACATTTGAGTGTAATGATTAGTGGCCGATGGAGCCCATCAGCTCCCTCTGAGAGGATCACATTCGATGTGGGTTCACTCAGGAGTCACATGCAGATCAGTTCCTCCCTGGAGGAAGACTTCATGCTTCATATCTGAACCTTACAGTACGTTTTACTGCAGAGACACTGAAGGAGATAATCAGAAAGAGGGTTTCTGTAGCTCACTTTGAAGAACAGTTTACATCTGACTAGATTGACAAGCCAACGACTAGCCTGAGTGAAACCAAGATGGTCTTCCTCCCAAACTCTTCTTTAGGAGCCCACATCAGTGGACTCAACATCTCCAGGTGTGCTTTGGCCTTCCTACCTTCGTAGGTTCTGGACAAGAGCTTGTACCGTGATAGAGTGAGAAGTTGGTCTCTTTTCAGAGAGCCAGCTATTGTAGATTGGCTCTAAGAAGAGCTGGGTCTTGTGGGCCAGCTCCCAAAAGAAGAGCTATCGCTTGTGAATTGGCCCCCTAAAACAGTGGTTCCCAACCCTGGTCCTCAAGTACCCCTATCCAGCATGTTTTACTTGTTTCCCTGCTCTTCAGCAGGTCTTCAGAAGATTGTTAATCACTCATTCATTCAAACCAGGTGTGTCAAATCAGGGAAATATCTAAAAATCACTGCTTTAAATGTTGACCATGTATGTTTTTTAGTATTGCTTCTTGAAGCCATTGATTCTTTGCCATTACTTTGTAAATAATAAATCAGATCACATGTATTAAAGCAGTGATTCTCAACTCTAGTCCTCAAGGACTCCTTTCCTGCATGTTTAGATGTTTCCCTGATTTGACACACCTGGTTTGAATGAATGAGTGATTAACAATCTTCTGAAGACCTGCTGCATAGCAGGAAAACAAGTAAAACATGCTGAATAGGGGTACTTGAGGATTAGGGTTGGGAACCACAGCCCTAAAAGAACAGCCGGGTCTTAAGGATCTGCCCCCTAAAAGAAAACCTGTTTCTTGTGGATCGACCCCCTAAAAGAAAAGCCAGGTCCTGTGGATCAACTCCCAAAAGAAGAGCAATCTGTTGTGGATTGGCCCCTAAAAGAACAACCAGATCTTGAGGATCACCCCCCTAAAAGACTAGCCATCGCTTGAGGATCTGCCCCCTAAAAGAACCGCCGGGTCTTGAGGATCGCACCCCTAAAAGAAAAGCCAGGTCCTGTGGATTGGGCCACTAAAAGATCAGCCGGGTCTTGTGGATCGACCCCCTAAAAGAAAAGCCAGGTCCTGTGGATCAGCTCCCAAAAGAAGAGCCATCTTTCGTGAATTGGTCCCTTAAAAGAAGAGCTTGCCTGGATTTCTTTATGTCAATAAGTCGATCTCAGATCCATACAGAGCTCCTCTGTGTCGTTGCTGCAAAAAAAACCTCTTAGATTTCCAGATCGGGTCACACTTGAACATTACTTTCTGGATTTGGTGTCAAACTATGGATCCTCCAAGTAGAACCGGTCATTGATCAGCTCGTGATCCGATACCATCCATGGTTTTTTCATCACGTCAGCCGGTGTTGGCATTTGTTTTGATGTACAGGTCTGGAAATGAAAGGTGTCCAAATGTCAGTTTAAGGATTTATTTTGGGCCAGCAGGCACCAAATGTCTCGGCTCACATGGAGACCACAGACACTTCAAAAGATGCAGACGGATGAAATCCTGATCAATTCCTGACCAAACCATCCAACATATCTGGTCTCACCGCTGTTTTTGAACTTTGCTTTGTCACAAATTCTGAAACTTTTCTCCCTCCTGCCTGGACTCTCTTCTTCTTCACCTCTTCACCAAACAATTGTTTTTAGGACTGATTTTCTGCACGTTAACACAGTAAAGGAGCCTATGTGCTTTTGATGATGGTGACGCTCTGCCTCCATTTGTTAAGTCAGAGCAAAAGGAGCTTCCAGCAGGGTTTGGTTCCAGACCAGACGAGGGGTACACGTGGTTCTTGAGGTCGACTCTTTAGCCACCAAACCATCGGTTGGGCGCTCGTCCTCCCTAATTTTGTTCTTCCTCATTTTCTTTCTTCTTTGCTGCCCTTTAATTTTCTCTCTGTCTTCTCGTTCCTCCAAACCCTTCACCCACTTCTTTCTCTCTCTGCTGCCTTCAAAATGAGGCTGAGCTCCACGGCACAAAAGCGTTACGCCTGTGTTGTACGGATACACCCTGTGTGTTCGGCCAGCTCACAGGACGTGCTAACATGTTAGCAGTGCTACAATTCCTGTGTCTGTTGTATCGTAGAGTATCATAGATCAGTTTCCACAATCTCCACCTTCGAATATGAAACGACACTCAGGATGTGACCTCAAAGGAGACAAAACCACGAGCTGTTGGGACATCTTTAGCTCATTGCAAACTACGAATGTTTGGGTTTCATCGCAGCTCCTATTTGTGTTTGTTTTGTAATTTGTTGCAACAACAGCTGAATGGACCAAATTGACACCTTTCTTCGTGGTTTCAACTCGGTGAACAGAGGTGGGCACAATTGCGCTACACCGCTAATAGCTACGCTAACTTACCATTTAGTGGATTAACTTTTTTGTTATAACTATGGTTTGGATTGGCTGCTTTGCTACACATGATCCCACCCACCTTCAAATAAAACCAGTGGAACAATAGCATCTTACAACTGGTTTGCATCAGTAACCTGATGACCGCTAATTGCTAAGTTAGCATTAGTTTCCTCTAATTTTCTTTTTGTTTAGCGATTTAGCGTTAGTGAAGCTAAGATTGTTGTTTAGTGAATTAGTGGTTAATAAATAAACTTTTTGATTAGCTGTGCTAATTAATTTTTAATTATTTAGTTAGCACTGTTGGCTAAATAGTTCTCATTCCAGTGAAAGAAGCATTAACAGGCCTACTCAGAATGAGTTTGTATAGCATCTAACTATGACTGTTTTTCTGAAAAGGTTGTTAGCCTTCTAATTTAGAGGGAAAGACAGGTTTTGTACGTAGTCAATTGCTTTTTAGTTTAGGTCTTTTTGACCCAAGGGCAGCAGGAGGATTTACGTCTACAGCTCACTGACGTTAGCCAACACAAAAATGGCTACGAGTCTGTCAATTTTACAGATGCTGTGCTAAAACTTGATGTGGTAATAGCTGAGTTGTTCACCACACATGATCTGAGCATTACATGTCACAGGATTGTGTTTAGAGTGGCCGTGACTCAGGAATGAGGAGCAGGTAGCTGCCAATCAAAAACATGTTTTTAATTTGTCAAATGCTAAAATATCCTTGGGCAAGATGCCAAAGTGGTCCAGTCAGACCAAAACGGCTACAACTTTGTCCTTTTTCCACATGAGATCAGTCCAAAGCATTGGCTTGAAAGTTGGCGGGTGATATGCATTCCTTCGAGTAATGTTTGGTCTTTAGTTTGTTTCTCCAAAACTAAAAGAACAGTGACCCTCAAAAGAGTGGTGCAAATCAAGGAATGGTGGCCAAGAGCTCCGTGATATAAGTGGGTTTCAGTGCTTTGACACTGTTCACTAGACAAACGTTGAAAAATAAACATCTGCTTCCACACACACACACACACACACACACACACACACACACAC